CAGCAGCTAAATGAAATACACCCATTACCGTCTTCCTGTTAATCGTGTTGTGCAGACGTTGGCTGCAGTTAAATCTGGGGTACAGCAGAGGGTGCTACCAAGGATAAGAGTGAATTGAGCTAAACAGCTAAAATAATTATTTCCACATGCTTCTTAATAAAATACCAACATTTTACTTTTCACAAATAATGTATGGAAAACTGTCTGACCAGATGATGACTGCTACGTGAGAATCTTGCTGCTGTTTAATGCATGAAATCAAAATGTTGGATTCAGTAAGTGAAAGCATCCCCGTAGATACTGAAAGTCCGCATAAGCGTGATTTCTTGAATGTTTAGTATTCCTTTGTTTTGTAGTACAAAAGACAAAAATATTAGGTAGAAATGCTACCCTTCCATCATAGTCCTTCCATAGCTGTGATGCTGCAGCAGCAATGTAAGGCTAATCCTCCCACGTGCCACGAGTGACACTTCACTGCCACTGAGTTTCCGCTGGTAGCACAAATGCCGGCCACAGTGTGAGGCGCGGTCGAAGCCCGTCCATAAAAAGCCAGACAGAGTGAGGACGAGAGCAGCAGAGGCAGGGCCCTAAATGTAAAAACATCTCTGAAGCAAGTGTGTTGTTTGTGGATGTGGAATTTGGAAATCTCTGCAATTTTCCTGGCAGCTGTCATCAGCTCCTTCTCAGCCCTGACTCCTACTCTCTTTTTCACTTTCTGTCAGACTCTATCTGGTTGTCACTGACACATTTAGACAGCTGCTTCGGTGTGATTGTTCGCCATGCTGTTTTAAATTACTTGAGGCATTATAGTTGATGTAAATACCACAAAAAAGTGAACAAGACGTCCCTAAAGCCAATGTTTTACCTGTCAAACACACATGTAACTAATAACCTCAATATCGGGGCTCTGGTTACGGGTTTTGTACGTGTTGGCTCACAGACATGGCTTACTTGGATAGCTCCAAGAGACTATAGTAAAACTGTCTGCGTGCTTTCAGTGTGTCTTATACTTTTGGATACTGTAACACAGAATACGCTTCTTTACTTATTTTCTTTGGCAAATTCAGTGTAAGATGATAAGCCTCCAGAGTTACAACAACAGCCTTTGTTTCCAAAGTCTGTAATGGGACTTTTAATTAGTAGTTAATTAAATGCAGGGACAACAGAAAGGTCAAACAGTTCAGTTGTTGTTTGTGAAAAGTAGTGCTAGCAGCAAACATGAAACAAATATGCAGTTTTGTGCTTCAGGTAACTAAAGCAATCAACCGATGCAGGGCATCTTTTTTATAATGTGACATTTTTCTTAACTCATTTTCTCTCTTTTTCATTCTAATTGCAAACGATTTGTTTACTAATTCTGCATTTTAATGTTTCTGTTCAAGCGTAGTTTAGAGTGCTTCAAAGAGTGCTGCACGTAGAAGGACGAAGAGCCTGAATGTAAAAGTTTTTCATTGTCTGTATTAACACCCTTCAAAAAAAGCAATCAGTGTGCCTTTAATGAAACACTGTAGTTTTAAATGCTTTAATCACGAGCACTCGGAGTGTTTCACACAAGCGCCCTCCTCCTTCCTCCTCTATCCTTTCTTTCTTTTTGCCTCTGTTGTGGTTTGCACTGACTTTCCTCACTCGTCTGCGAATTAAGCAGAAACAGCTGAGGAATCCAGTTTGAGGCCAGCGGCAACGCTGCAGAGACCCAGTTGGCCAATAACCGAGGCAGATGCAAATCCGCTACCAGAGAATCAGTCCAAGCGGTATCGAAGGAAATGACTAAAGACTTCTGCTGAAAAAAAATTACCTCTCATATAAATAAATGATCGCATTCAAACTGTTAAAAGCCTGGCGAGTTTTCATTATAGAACTGCATTAGTGTTAAATGTAGATGAATGGACGGGATGATGAAATTGACGTGTTCCAGATTTTATGTTTCACAACCTGCATATGTGTGTCAAGTTGAAGTATTAGCTGGTAGTAGTGTAGTAGTACCAC